TGCCTCGTTTTGTGTCATCGATGTGTTGAAAACGTACTCTCAAACAAACAAAACTTCTTTGAAGTACCGAGAGACAGTTGTTCTTAAGCTACGTAAAGCCACACAAGGCTGTTGGTTTTGAAACTATATATACCAAGCAAGATATGGGACGGAGGGGTACCCCCCTTACCTGTCCAATCCCTATACACACTGTAGGTTATTGTTACCTAACACATCCCCCTAGAAGTCAGTAAAGAGTTCCTGAGATTCCGATCAAACAATGACCAACACAAAGGCAAGGGCGTTCTCTCTGTCCCATATCTTGCTTCAAATGAAAATATAAGCCGTTGGATCAAAGGTACTCTTAAAGCAGCAGGTATTGATACAATGCACTTTACCGCACATAGCACTAGATCAGCATCCTGTAGTACCGCTTTCCGATGCTGTGTGCCAGTGGAAACATTAATGAGAACACCTGGCTGATCGAAATGTTCCACATTCGTCAGATACAAAAAGAGTATTGCTGATAATTCTGTCTTTGCAGATGCGGTTCTTGGCAAGCGATACAAGTGTAAATGTAATAGACAGGTCACCAATGGAAGTTAAATAATGCACTTTGGTGCATGTGTGTTCTATCTGGACTGCTGAAAGTACAGTCGATGTAAGTCCAGGGTTAATTACGACGCTAGTACATATTTCCTATTTGTTAAATGCCTTGTAAGGACCGGCAATATGATTTTCGTATGGCTCATTTACAGATTAACTGAGCTAAATCTACATCTACATGTACTACTCAGTTGGAGCCAGTATATTACTTCTGATTGACATGATCAATGTCATAATAATTTGAACTTACATTGGAAAATTTGCACTTCAGATTTAACTTGCATGTATTCCTGATATTTAAACCGATTGGAGACTTCAAATGGCACAGTCTCTGCCATTCGGAGAGAGAAAAAAGATACCATCAGCTAAATGAATTGCAGTCATTCAGAGTTATTTTGAGTGATTAATTAATGTCATTTGGATACGAGGTACTCGATTCTGTTTGCAGTTCAAGAGGATCTAAACATCTCAAGTAAGTTCGAGGTGCTATGTGATGCGAGGTAGAATTCCCTAATTAAACAAAATGAAATTGAAGTTTAATTATAATCCTACCGAGATATTATACTAGCACTGAAGGACTTTCCTCCCAGATTTCTGCTAACAAAAAGGTTCAATGCTGATACCCTCCCGCTGCTAATCGGCTAACTCAGGTAAGAAAGGCGCATTTTCTTCTAATTTATTGATCTAAATGCGCAAGAAATGGCGCCAACATCATGAAGAGAACATTGTCCAGATTGTACTCTTTTGCAGGTCGACTTCCTTTGTACAATGATAAAACGACGGGAGGGTCTCTAAGTTTACAAACGTCCAATGTTAAACATGTACATAATTACAGATGTACATCAATCTCATGAACATCGATTTTTTATCGAGTCATATGGTGTCACCTCCCCGCTTTTCAAATCTGCATAGCCGGGCAAGTCATCCCCCACCTTTCCCCAGCCCCGATTTCCTCTCCCCCAATTCCCAGCACATTTTACGGCACTGGCGTTTTCATTTTATAGCATTAGTTACTTACTTAGATTTGAAATGTTTCCAGTCAGGCAAAAACCGTTTTTCGATATGTTAATACATACAGTAACCGTTTGGGGCAGGACATAAAGAGAAATACCAATAAAATGATGTTCAATCAGGTTTTACTGTTTCATTAACAACAAATTCGTTTGGCGAAACAATTCAATCAACTTACAATCACAGTATAATAAAAAAGGATATAATCCAAGGATTGATCAAGGAACACACAACAATAGCTTAAGATTGCGCAAAGAATATGGCCAGTCGGCAAAGCAAAACAATCTATTTTCAGTCTTTGGAAATTGAAGTCTAGTCTATCTCTGGACCTCCAGTTCTCTACCGTTGACTGAGTTGAAAATTCCCAGGTCAGTCAACTTGTCGGACACTTGAAGGCAGACGCAGTCTCTCGTCTTCTTCAACAGGTTCACTCCACTCCAGTATAGTCTTAGGCACTACCTCAGAGGACCACTCGTCTATTGCAATTGGGTTTGCTACCAGGAAAAGCTAGGAGGTTGTTACCAGACATCAACCCGGTGAACAGTTAATTGTTCATGTGTCCTGCTCAATGAGATTCCAAGATGTTGTCACATGTGTACATATATCCGATAATCTGAGAGCCAACAGTATGCTGAATAGCACAAATGGATTATGAAAACACCCGATCAATCGATGATTTGAACAAAAGTGAACCTCACGACACGATCTCTCTGGACAACTTGAAAAAAAAAGCTTTCAGCGATAACCAACTTTAAATGAACAACGGCGAGATGAGTTTTTCTCGACCGCTAGAGGGCGCTATTTACTTTACCACACGCGAGTCCTGAAAATTAGGCGGTTACATTACCACTGTTGGCTTTATTTATTTTGGCGACTTTTCAAAACGAAAATAATTTCTGTAGCCAAAGGAAGAATGTTTACAACGAGGTTATAGCCCACATTAAGACGTCTGGTGTGCCATGCTCCTGTAGGCTTAGGGCCTACCAGCAAAATTTTCTACGTGTAAAGTTTGAAAGACAACAAGTGGACAGTGGCAAATTATAGCCCACATTAAAAATTATATAAGACATCTGGTGTGTCATGCTCCTGTAGGCTTAGGGCCTACCAGCAAAATTTTCTACGTGTAAAGTTTGAAAGACAGCAAGTGGATAGTGGCAAACCGTCAATTCACAGCAATTGTTGCGGGTATCGTAAAATGCTATTTTAGGCTATTCTAGTCTAGGAAATTGAACTAATGCTTGTACATGTAATGGGAGAACAGTAAAGTCTTGTTGTGTTG